AATATATCAGGAAATATACCAGAAATACAATATACTAGGAGAGAGAGAGAGAGAGAGAAAAAAAAACAGTTAAACATATATCTTATCTCATATATTAGGGTAACTCCGGTATATACGCCGCACCTATCAAAAATTTAATTTATTATAAGTATTATTTACTATGTTTAAAGTAAATGAACTACATCAGTAAAAACTTTGTACTGTCTACTACTATGAAAAAAATATTAGAAATCCGAAATATATTTCATATTAAAAAATGAACTTTTTGAAACCCTTGCATTTTTGCCATAGAGATGGGATATATGGCTACTCATAGAGGGAAGAAGGGTATGGCTCATGAAAAATTTATAAATAATGTATAAATATTACAATATTACAATAATTTATAAATAAGACGTAAAATGACACAATAAAGTGCGTTTATAAAGTTTTATTAAGAAATAAGAATGATAAAAAATATGTATATGAAGTAATAAATAATAATTACAATCTTTCTACATATATTACAAGTGTTACGACATGAGGTACATATTTCGTGTAATGCATTGATTGCATTTAATGCACTGAATTCAATCTGCGCACTTTGTATGCTTTGGACATAAATCCCACTCGCTAAAAATCCCAAACAAATGGGATGTATAAGACAACAAATTAAACAAAGAATACGAAAGCAAAGCACTTGTATTTTGCTATATAACCTGTTTTACTATTCCTCTACACGTATGTATCACGAAATAACTACTAAGTCTTTTACGCGCCCTACAGATGTGTGTGAAGCTAGCATCACACTTGGTGGAAATTCATTAAATATTGAGAGTTCTGAGTTTATTTTCAATAGTACTATAGTTCTATATAGGATAAATAAATAGTCCCGGCCATTAAAGCCGAGAAACCCAAAATTCAAAATGAGACGCCAAGTTTACACAGGGCCAACTCCGTCTATAAAAGTTTCCAGCTACGGTTTCTTATAGGATTTGAAAACATACATAGTTCTACAAAGAGTTCTGACACCTAACATTGTTATTTTGATTTTTAAACAATTTTTTTCCCTAAAAAATAGTTTTTAAAAAGAACGAAGATGAGACGCTGTCTGATTTCAAAGAGTTCTGTTAGTTTTATGATTTTTTTCGTATAGTTCCGAATGTATCCTAACGTTTTCCGAAGAGTTTCGGTGATATAAATAATTTGTTAATTTTTTAAACAATTTTTATCACCCGAGGAAGGCGTCTTTCAGGGTATATGTGTGAAACGCTGGCCGATTTCCGACAGTTCTGTGAGAAATATGGCACTTATCATGTAGTTCTGAATGTGTCCTAACGGTTTCCGAAGAGTTCCGATGGTATAAATAATTTTAAATTCATTTTTAAATGAATTTAAAATTATTTATACCATCGGAACTCTTCGGAAACCGTTAGGACACATTCAGAACTACATGATAAGTGCCATATTTCTCACAGAACTGTCGGAAATCGGCCAGCGTTTCACACATATACCCTGAAAGACGCCTTCCTCGGGTGATAAAAATTGTTTAAAAAATTAACAAATTATTTATATCACCGGAACTCTTCGGAAAGCATTAGAATTAACCAGGTTCTAGCGACTCTGCTGTAATGAGCAGGGCATCCATCTAATTGAAACCACATTTCAGTACGTTGTTGTAATGGGATGTTTTCTAAATAGTCAGAAAATTCATTCTCCAAGAAATTTAGAAAACGGTCCCCATTTAATCTTGCAGGTAAAAAAAACATTTTTTTTCGATTTCTCTGAAACGGAGCAAAAACGAGCATATGTCTATAGGACTTTTTTTCTTAGTTTTTTACTCCTCTACACGCTCCCGAAGTTTTGCGATTTAATTTGGAAACACCCTGTATAGCTATAGAACTATTGAAAATAAACTCAGAACTCTCAATATTTAATGAGTTTCCACCAAGTGAGACGCTAGCTTCACACATACGCCCTACAGTACTCATTTTATGTAGATTATAATTTATGATGGCACTACTTATTACAGTGACAAATCGATTCAACTCGCAATAATTTCATTAATATTAACAGTAAGAAGCTGAAATCATAACACAATACTAATATAACATAAAGGCATGTAACAGAGCAGTTGCGGGAAAATTACCCCCACTCCTTCTATTTCTTCTGACTTCTACGGCGTAAATCCCAGCGCGCCATATTTGCCGGAGTTACCCTAATGTGTCTTAGCGGTTTTTTATATGTATAATTAATATGCAAAATCAATATTTTGCATATAAGATACGTATTAAAATAAGTTCATTTTAATGTAATAATTATTCGCACAAATGAAAAGAGTTAATCTTGCAAGAATTAACAAATTAAAAAGCAATGAAATTATTAGTACTGCACCGAATTCATTAAGGTCGCCGCGGTCGCCGAAAGTTTCATCGAAAATTATCGTCGGAAAAGAGCTTACTCCACTGCTTTTTCTACGTAATATTAATAGAAAATTATATGCGAAGAACCTACTATAAATATATTTTGCATTATGTGAGAGTCAATGAAAGTTATAACGATATCTATGTATATGAATTTTTAAACAATATACACAGAAATTGCGTAAGAAATGTTCATCATAGTAATTGCATGGCGAGATAAATGACGTTAAGCGCCGTTGAAATGAATAAATAATAAATTATTTCGCGCATCTTATATTTTGGTAACGATTTGTACAAAGACAGCAGCACAAACAAAATATAGTCTTTAAACATTTTTTATTATAGTCCGTTACTTCAAAGTATTACTTTAATTTTATAGTTAATAAATAATATAAATGGTACCACGTATAAAGTTAATAATTATATACATAGATTCTATATATTATTATACATATTAGTTTTATAATTTCCTATATTCAGATGATAGCCAATATTGAAGGTTTATAATGCATTATCCAAACGGAATAATTTTCTATTGTATAACATCATGTGATCTGATCATAAAAAATACAGTGTTGCGTAGATTGCTGTTCATTAAAGACAAGATTATCCTAATTTTATAACTTCATTTATAATTTTTTACAGTTTTTTTAAATAGAAAAATACATACATTTTTCTTCAACCACTACTAGAAACGTGTAACGAAAGACAAGACAAGATTAAGACAGCATCACAGAATGGTCTTTATGCAATTTCGTTGCGTAGCCAGCGGTCTAAGACTTTACAGTTAGATCTACACTTTATCATAATGCGAAGAAGTGCTGCGAACGTTAAGAGAGACATGGAACCTTGAGAATTTCCTCGCTCATTGTGATTCGCGAAAGAAATAAGGTCTCGTATGCGCTCTTCCTGGCATATCAAAACAGAATTTCCCACACTGCTGCGGCTCAGTTTTGCATAATGCACCTTCTGAAGAAAAGTTCTTAGATGTCTTACATTAAATCGCAAAAGCGAGAAAATGTCCACTCGATTCTTCAAGAAATTCGTACCATCTTGCACATCATTTAATGAAGAAATATGTAATAAATTTATAGGTAAAAAATTTATTACATATTTCTGTGAAACAGATATTTTTTATGAATATCTAAATATACATTTAATGCGTTAACAAAATATTTATATAAAAATCGAGTTATATTAAATAACACGTTTAATACAATTCTTTCAATTTTCTTTGTAGCATTCAATGTAATACAAATTATAAAATAATATTTAGCTGAAAAACATAGTTTACTGGTTGTAAAAACATAAATACATATTTTAACAACTATGTTAACAGATTTTTAAAAATATTATGATATAACGAGATGCAAGATTAAATAATCATAAATACAATCTATAAAAACAATAAATTGTCTATAATAGCGTAATAAATTCTAAAGTTATTATTACAATACTTACCATATTCAGCGAACATATTACACAGATCTGCATTCATGACAAGTTTCAAATTTGAAAACTCTTAAAAATTTGACAGAAGTCGGAAATAGCGCATCCACGTTTGACAGCTTCATTAATTGTTTCTGGAAAAAAATGTTTTACTTTTAATTTACAATCCAAAACGTGAGATTCGAGCTGGTCGCGAAATTTGTCGTTGCTAACTCCATGACATTATCCATGTAAGCGTAACGCAATTCTATTTACTGCATCCGGTAGCGTTGTTGTAAACATACTGTGGTCGTCTTGAAGCGCGAATAGATGAGCTGTTGAGAGAATTCAGCAGTAGAGCAGCAGTGCCTAATGGCGAATTCGATTAGAAGCACTAGTGCGCACTGGTGCATATTAAACCCATTACACTGATTTAATTTGAGTATAAAAATGTAATGCAAATATTTCGAATTATGAAATACATATTTTACCTAATAGTACAATACAATAAAATGTATTGGGTATTTCAAGATTTAATCAACTTCTATATTTATTTATAAATATATCTTTATGTTATTTTGTGTACGACAGCTTTAATGTGCACCAGTGCATTGAGTGCATCCAATCGAATTCGCTATAAGTGTTCTTCAACTAATTGAATGCGTATCAGTTCAAAGTGAATACATACGACACATCGATGCCAATCTGTAAAAGTACTATAATTATCGACATGCAATTAAGTAAATGGCTCTCGAAGCATACTAACAAAGCACTGCAATTTTCAAATAAAAGAAATTGTATTATATGTATGTAGAGGAAATTTAAAAAAATGTAGACGTGTTCTTTATACGTTAATAAAGAAGAATAAAACTTTGATTTATTTAACATTAATAGGAATAATTATAATATGAAATAAATATATTAAAAAATCAAAAAATTTTGAATAAATAAATTTAATAATCTTTGTGAAAGTATCGAAACAATATCTACGATAAGTTTTATCGTTGGAAAATATTGCGGTATCACAGTTTCTTTATTGTCGTAACTATCTGGATTACACTTATAATTCGATTTTCTTATAAATACATAATATTAAAAATAATTAATAAGTTAAAAACTTGAAGAAGAATTTTATAATTTATTCTTAGGAATATATGCTTTTATGTTCGTCTTTGCTCGATGTATAACGCTTGACTTAATAAAATTTATTAGATAAGTGTATTTACATTAGCTCCTAATCCTAGATTCTTGCTTGAAGATTTTTAGTTTTAAAACATTTCACGATACAATGGCATTATAACGCTTTAAGTTTAAAAATTAATAGGAACCAGTAAGGATGAACATAGTCATCCATGATAGCATAAGCCATACTAAAGTTACCGTATTAACTGATATCACATTAGCATTATTGCACTCATCTGTATCGCATTTTTTCTCAATTTCACATTCTGAACTATCAGCGCATGTATAATTGGAAGGAATGCAAGTACGTTCAATGACTTCAGTGTCGTAATCTAGATGAAAAAACATTTATTACTAGGAATTATTATTTTTTATTGTTATGCAAACGAAATATACGTAATGTATAAGTATAAAATATCAAAATATAGAATACGTACGATGTTTAATTATAGCACAATTCCATCCTTCTGCATATGTATTTTGTTGAACATAAGGAAGAATGCCTCTTCGTAGTCTACTATACGTAACTGAAAAAGTGAAATTTTAGTAAATATTGTATATAATATTATATATATTTTCTAAAATTTGTGATAAAAAAATATAAAGTAAATATAAAAAAACAATTATTCTATAATAGAATTTAATTTAAGGACTAGAATTTGATAATGAATAAATTAAATTTATTAATTAAATTTTTACAAAATCATTAATTAAAACTTACATTTAATTGTACTACCATATTATACTAACATTAAAACTAACAAAATGTTAAAATTATTGGTATTTAAAGTTCTTTCTTATGAAATACAATATGATTAAAATTTAATGCGACACATAACTATATAATACATTAAATTTTGAAAAAGTTTTTTGTATTCTAAACTTTTTATCCTAATCTTAATAAATATTAGTGAATAATTATATTTCAGCTTTATAAATTTAGATGTGTTAAAATTAATTTTTCGAATATACACTTAGTTTAAAAAAGTACTAATTTCATAAGAGAGAAAGAAAAAGAATGAGAGAGAAAGCGCATTAATTTTTCCTTACTTTTACCATGCCGATCTTCTGAAGAAATCGGGATGGTTTCCGATATATCGGTCGACAAGATCGAGCTAGTCATCGATGCATCAGTCGATGAGATCGGTGTGATCTTCGATGTATCTATCGATGAAATGGGGGTTGTTGATGTATCTGTCGACAGAATTGAAGTAATTATATCGGTCGACGGAGTCAGAGTACTCGACAGAGTCAGAGTAGTCGTCGATATACCTGTTAACGGGGGAATCCGAGTAGTCATCGACATACTAGTACACGGAGATAAAGCAGTCGTTGGGGTTGTCGGTGTCGTCGGGCTAGGAGTCGTCGAGGTAATCGGAGTCGTCGGAGTCGTGGGGGTAGTCGGAGTCGTGGGAGTCGTCGGAGTCGTTGGAGTAGTCGGGGTCGTGGGGGTAGTCGGAGTCGTGGGAGTCGTCGGAGTTGTGGGGGTAGTCGGAGTCGTGGGAGTCGTTGGAGTAGTCGGAGTCGTGGGGGTAGTCGGAGTCGTGGGAGTCGTCGGGGTCGTGGGAGTAGTCGGAGTCGTGGGGGAAGTCGGAGTCGTGGGAGTCGTCAGAGTAGTCGGAGTCGTGGGGGTAATCGGAGTAGTCGGGG